TGTGTGTGTGTGTGTGTGTGTGTGTGTGTGTGTGTGTGTGTGTGTGTGTGTAAGTGTGTTTATTGGTGATTGTGTGGGTATTTTTCTTTTTTGTTTTTGGTTTGGTTTTAGTTTTTTTACGGGGATATTCCTGATCATGCTGTTACTAGTTGATAGACTTTATTTCTGATTTCATTTGCTTAATTGCCTTTTTCCACTGTTGCTGTTTCCTTTTCATCTACGTATTTTGTTGCTTCTTCTCTTGTTTTTGTTGGTTGTCTTTTGCAGCTGTTTTTGTTTTTGGAAGACTGCAGAAGGTGATCAAGAAGGAAGAAACAAATGGAGGACAATTCGAAGCTGTTATTCATCATTGTCGTATATTAAAATTCGAGATTTTCAGGGGAAAAACGAAAAAAACCCCCAACAACAACGAAACAAACAAACAAAACAAACAAACCTAACAAGCAATAAAAACAACAACAGAAAACAAACAAAAAAAACAAACAAAAAAATCACCCCAACCCCACCCCCCCACCACACACCCACAACAACAACCCAAGGACCCCCCTCCCGAAAAAACTACCAAAAAAACCAACAACAAACAAAAGCAAAACAGAAACAAAAACAAAACACAAAAAAGCAACACAAATCTTTTAACTCGGTCTGGTCACTGTTTTGATACAAAGTGTTTAACACGTCTAAATTCGTTACCAATCTAAGAAGAGGAATGAGACTAGAACCAGTCGATGCGCCCCATCAAATCTTGGTTTTCAATTTTTTTGCTTGAAATATTGACATTTCATAATAATACTACATACTACAATGTTGAATGACTGCAACAAATTGTCACCTCAGAATTACAAAGTTCTATCTGCCCAGTACCTAGTTTTGATAAATTGAACATCAAAATTTTTGAGTTTCACAACATGCCAAGCCTTTTCAAGCGCAATTCTTTAAATATTTTGATAACGACTCCGAATAATCTTACGGTTTTGATAGAGAGGATAGAACATTTGGTTTCTGACCTCACGGTCTTAGTAACTCAAAACGGCCAAAAATGTCAGATAGAATTGTGTAATTCACGGTTAGCTAAAACTCAAGGATAGAAGGAATAATCTATAATGGTGACTTAAACTTAAACGGAAAAAGTTCTGTTTGAGCTGCAGACCTGGCCTACCAAAGAAAGCTGCTTCCCCTATCGACGACAGAGGATGAAAAAGTAAAAGTAAAGTATTTCTGTTTGAAGACTGAAAGACGATGTACTTGTAAAATATTCAAAAGTCAAGCAACCTTTAAACTGAAGGTACTGGATGGGAAAGCTCAATAAAGCATGTTAACAAGACTTTTGGTGGGATTACCTCTTCCTGAGACATTTTAAGAGAAGCAATTTAGAGGTTTTGTTGTAAATGAGAAATGAAAAGAGTTTGTTATTTTTGGTTATAATTGACCTGATCAGAATTTTGCCAGTGAACACAGAGTTACTGTAAATCTTTTCTCTTTGGCGGAAAGCGGCCACTTTCTGGCCCGAGTTCGGGAATAATCATTTCGACTGTTTTAATACGTAGTGTACGTACAACTATTTCTCCTTTGTACGCCATCAAATTTGTCACCCTAGTTATCAGCATCACACATTTCCTTACAACCCCACTCCTGTTAAACCAATTAAAACATAATAAACCCAAAAAGTGGGTAGAACTGAATGATCCAAGCAATTAACACACAGCTTAATCATAGATTACAAGGATTGGTTAGGGTCTGGTAGATTTTTGTTACATCTGTAAACAATCAAGTGGTGCCGTGGGTCAGCTAAACTTGAGTGCCGTACACCAATTAAACTGGACACAAGTATTGTATAAAAATAATTGCAAATATTAGATTTAACATTTGAACTAGTTTAGCAATTTCTCTCTTTTTTTGGTGAAGGGGAGAGGGTGCCGTTTTTATGCTCCTTGTGAAGATGCGAAGAACTCAATTCTTTGAGGACACGAATTCTGTTTTTTAAACAACGCTTGGAGATACATTGGTTTTGAGCACTTTATAAAAAAGTTATTCCTACAGATTTCTCAAGTCTAAGGTCTTTATCTGAAACTCAGAAAGGCAAACAATAACACTCTTACTCTTACTGTGAAAGGTGTAAATTTATGGTTCAGATTTGTAAGTCTACAGTTCGAAATGTACCTCACCATAGCTTTTGGTTTGCTGTCGGGCATAAATATTGTGTCCTGTGCGTCCTTAAGGAGGTAAGCAAAGGATTTCTCTTTATTCTTAAATCATGTATTGATCTTTTTATCTTTCAAAAAATCTATTTATCTATTTATCTGTTAATCTGTTTCATTCTTTCTTCCTTTCTTCCTTTCTTTTTTCTTTCTTTCTTTCTTTCTTTCTTTCTTTCTTTCTTTCTTTCTTTCTTTCTTTCTTCCTTTCTTTCTTTCTTTCTTTCTTTCTTCCATTCTTTCTTTCTTTTTTTATCTATCAAAAATATTTTTTTTATTTATCTATTTATCAATTTATCTATTTATTTATTCTATATTTTTTGCAGAAAAGTGCAAGAGCGTCAAGTTAAGCATCATGGGTTGCCTCCAGTCCCGAAAAGTGGAGGAGAACTACCTTCTGCAAAGCCTCCAGGAGCACGAGAGCGGCATCAACTGTATGGCCGTGAGTGAGGACGGTTCTGTGTTGGCCACGGGCGGCGAGGACAAGACGGCTCGGCTGTGGAGCACCAAAACAGAGCAGTGTGAGTGCATCGGCGTGCTGCGGGGCCACGGGGACTACATCAACTGTATTCTCATAGAGGACTGCTACGTGCTCACGGGTTCGGCCGACAAGACTGTGCGGAAGTGGGACGTGGGCACGTGCGAGTGTCTCCTGGTCATGACTGGTCACTCCAGCGTCATTTATCGGTGAGTGTTTATCTTTTAGTAAGGTTTCACGACGCTCTCAACTGCGTAAGGTCATAGGAGCGCCAAGGGGTGGATGTCAACAGAGAAGTCCAAATGGGGAATCAGGCTTACTCTGCTCTCCTCTCCAGTCTCAACAACACAGAGTCTGCTTCGACTGTCAAGGTACCATGGAAATAGCAGTTCACAAGAGAGTGATAAACGTACAAAAGAAGTAGAGGAAAAATGACGATAGTAAGGACGAGGAAAGAAAAAGCACCCGTTCCCCCAATGTTTTCCCGGCAGAGTATGAGCTTGACATTGGTAAATCAGCCAATTTACAATCCTACTATGCATAAGAACATATTAATATCCCCCCTTTTGGAATGACCAAAAGACAACTTCAGTCAGTAACACTGCCGTGGTTTGGAGAGGGGGGGGGGGGGTATTGTTCTGTCTTGACATATTTGGCCGTTCTTAGTTATTTCCAAGAAAGGTAACCTGCAACTATGTCAGAATTACCGCATCATCAGTCTAATAAGCCACCCCAGTAAGGTTATGTTGAAGATAATGCTGAACAGTTTGAAACCACAGGCAGAGAAGATCATTGCTGAAGAGCAGGCAGGCTTTAGAGCAGGGTGCAGCACAACAGAACAGATCTTCAACCTTAGAATAGAATACTGTGCGAGAGGTACCTCCAACACCAACAAAACCTATACGATATCTTTGTGGATTTTAAAAGGCCTTCGACAGGGTCTGGCATGCAGCCTTATGGGCAACCATGAGGAAATATAACATCAACGCCAACCTGATCAACGTCATACAACAACTATACGACAAGGCCTCCAGCGCATTCTACGTTAACGGCAGTATGGGGGATTGGTTCAGGACAACGGTCGGGGTGAGGCAAGGCTGTTTACTCTCTCCAACTCTCTTCAACATCTTCCTAGAACGAATCATGACTGACACTCTAGAAGACCCCAATGGAACAATCAGTATTGGAGGCAGGGCAATCACTAACTTGCGTTTTGCCGATGACATCGATGGATTAGCAGGAGAAGAACAGGAGCTCGCCACACTAGTGGGGCGGCTGGGCCCAACCTCAGCAGCCTACGGCATGGAGATCAGTGCCGAGAAAACCAAGCTAATGACCAATAACACCAATGGCATCAATGCGGACATCAAAGTCAGGGGCGAGAAACTTGAGACCGTCAACAGCTTCAAATACTTCGGATCTATCGTCTCAGATGAAGCCTCAAGGCCAGAAATTCTCTCCAGAATCACGCAAACATCAGCTGCGCTGTCAAAACTGAAGCCTATTTGGAGGGACAGAAACATCACGCACAGCTAAAAAATTAGACTAA